GGTCAGTCACTGCTCTCCTTATGCATTGCTAATGGCATGCCCCAATAAACTTAAACTGAGTTTTTAAGTTTTACGTTTCTGGTGTTAAAATAGTCAGAGTAATTTAAAAATATATATGTATGAGGAAGTGTTGCCTTTACTGTCATTTTAACCATCCAAGTAGGAAAAAAATGATTAAAGTGATTAATGATGATTAAAGTGCTTAAGTCGAGATGTAAGAGTTATAGATGTAGTTTAAGGAAAGGAAGCAATGTTGACATTCATTTTGCAACTTTTTTTTTTTTTTGCTTCATTTCTACAACAGGCTGCCAGTTCCCTCTTTGCTAGTTTTGCAAGTAGTCTTTTCCCTTTTTCCATCCGTTTCCTAACAGTCCGGTTACCTTCAACCCCCTCAGATCCACACAGGCATGCAGCACCAGATCATCTGGCCCTGCCAGCCATATTGTGTCCCTCTGGATGAGAAACTGCTGCCTCAGCTGCTGAAGGAGGCTGGCTATGGCACGCACATGGTGGGCAAGTGGCACCTGGGCATGTACAAGAAGGACTGTCTGCCCACACGCCGCGGCTTCGACACATACTTTGGTTTGTATTAAATAATAGAAATCCTACATGGGATTTTTACGGAATGAAGACAATATTTAATATTTTTAGATCAGCTTTCATGTATGAATTGAAGAAATAAAAGAAAAAAAGCAGGCTCCAGTTCATGGCGGAAAAATATTTATGGGACAATTGTCCACTGAGAGAAACAATGGCATCAGAAAGCAGTGATTGAACAAATTAGCATGCTAACCCAGGGTCTTAAAGCACTCTGGTCAGATCCTTTGTACTTGGAATTCAACATGGTTGAGACAGACCTCTTAAAAATTTGTAATTGCACACTTTATGTGAGGGAACCTATACGACAATTGTGTAAAAGGAAGCTGGAAACAGTTGTAAGTCTCACTTTTTTCCTTTTTTTGACACATATCTCTCAAAGGAGCTGGCCCATGGCTGGTGATGATTGGGATTCTTTGCTTATGGTTCATACACAAAGATGTTAAAATTGTCAGCCGGTTTTCAAAATCAGAGAGGATGATAATTCGCTCCTTAGTCGCATCTTGTCGGGGTTGGTACTGCCTCTAGTGGCGTGGGGGTGGTAACA